ACCCTATTTGCAGTCATGATCTAAAAGGGCATAGGAATCTCAATTAAAACAAGGCTTTGTGGAGAAAATGAACGCAAATATTGTATTCCAAAATGTTTTGTTGATTTGGGGGTTATTGCGCCATCATGAAAGGTTAGGCTGAATGGTAAAAGTTAAGGAATATTTCATCTATATATAATGTTTTTATCATTTCAATGCACAATAGTAAAAGTAAAGTAAACAATTCAATTCAATAAAAAATAAGATATCACGCTGTGGATCTAAAGTTAGGCCTGCTTTATTTTTATCAAAATATATTTTTCTCTCTTTCTTTAATTACATAATTTTTATTAAAATAATATTAAATATAAATAAAAAAATTCCTTTATTTTTTATCCACTCATTTTTCATCAATTCACTGTTCTAAAATTTATTTTTCCATAAAAAAAAAATGGATGTCAAACATAGCAAGAAATAAAAAAAAAAAGGGTAAGAATCAATTATTTTTTGGCATAAATTCTTGCACATACATGTTACTTAGCCCCTATATGAATGATATGACCACCATTATTTCTTAAAAAATTAATAATTTAAATATTGATTTTTTAGAAAATATGTGATTAAAAATAAGTAAAATTTTGAATTTACATACAGAATATTTTATTGTGTGAATATATAATTAAAATGAGTATGAAAATTAAAATATTTTGAAATAATAGTTGTCAAACAGTGACTTTGACATGTTCAAGGAAGAATCTAAGGCAACTATTTCCGCATTTTAAATTAAATTTGGATCACAAAGGCACCTCATTGGAGTGGAAAATTTAGGTGGGACCATAATGGATAAGACCACAGACCTAAGATCTCTCTCATAATAATTTTTATGCCTCATTTGTTTTCCATTTTTTCTCCATTAAAATGAAAATATGATCATTATTCATTACATAAAGACATCAAATTTGAATTTCTCTCTCGTGTGGAGCCCGTAACGATTATAATTTTCGTTTTCATTTTCACAAAATGGAAATCACACAGGGACATTTCATATGGATGGACCACAAATCCATGGGGCATGAAACATGGCCATGGGGACCAAAAAAACACCAACGTTGTCAAAGATTTTTTCATTCTCTTATCGGATCAAGAAACCCTTTTTCCAAATATATTTTCTTGATTCGAATTTCATTTTTTATTAATAATTTTGAAAATTACTTTTTGTATTATACCTTCGTAACTTCTGTGTGATCATAGTCACAGCTTCTTTGCCATGTGTTTGAGCCCAGTTTTTGCAAAATTCTCGTTTTCATTCAAACTATATGGGACCTGTGAAAAGTAATCGGAAACATTATGTGTCCCCCCAAAATACCACCGTCACACACTTTGCAAGAGCAATTTTCTGTTAATTGAAGGGTAAAATCGAAAACTATAGGATACAATAATTGAATCAGACTGTAACATCTATAAAAATTGGAGAATATACGAAAATTAGCAAAATAATTATAGCACTAGTGAAATTTTTAGACACAACCTTGAACCATTTTTCTCACCCAGGCCTTGCTTCCTAACCAAAACATGAAGAAAGATTGCTGCCACCACGACAAAGGAAAGAAGAAGATCTATATTTACGTCTTGATCGCCACAATCAGCTTCATAGTTACTGTCGGCTCCACCGTCTTCATTATATGGCTCATCCTCCGCCCTACAAAGCCTCAATTCATCCTCCAAGGCGCCACCGTCAATTCCTTCAGCCTCGCCGCCCCCAACCTCCTTACTTCCAATCTTCAAATCAGCCTCTCCTCCCGCAACCCTAATGGCAGAATCAGCATATACTACGATAAAATTGAAGTATATGCCTCGTACCACGGCCAACAAATTACCCCCACCACAATGCTCTCTTCTACTTATCAGGGACACAAAGAAATGACAGTTTGGTCGCCAATTTTGTGCGGGAATGAAGTGCCATTGGCGCCATACCTTGCTGTTTCTTTGAACCAAGAGCAAATGGTCGGAATGGTGTTGATTAACTTTAAGATGAGTATAAAAGTACGATGGAGAGTCGGAAAATTCGTATCTGGGACATATCATTTGTATGTGAACTGTCCGGCTTATATAAATTCTGGTAATAATAACAATAACGCAGCTAACGCTGGTGTTGGAAATGCTATTCAGTTTAAGAACTGCCATGTTGATGTATGATGTTTGAGCTGGCTAATGGCTAGCTCTCATTGTTGGTCTATTTTAATTTAAAAATTTTTTTTTTCAGCTTTTTGTTCTTTTTATTTGATCTTGAAGTCCTATTGGGTTTGTACTGTAATATTATGCATTTTAATTTATGTGTCATGTACACTCTATTATTATATGGGGAAATAAAGTTTGAACAAGTACTCTCTCTAGATTAATTTTTTAGGTGCAACATTTATTTCAATTTTTTTTTTACAGTTTCTGGACATGTGTGCAAGAGTGAATACTGTTTTCCACACCCCACTTGATTGGATGTTGAATTTGTTTTATCTTTAAACACTCGACTCATGCACAATTTTAAAACGTAAATTTTTATAAGTTGTTAAAGAGATTACATCTATTTATTTAGTTTAATTTTAGTCGTCTTCTTTAAACATGAACGAAATTGCTAGGGTTCTGCAGAAGGTGAATTGACATTAAACCCATAGTTGATGGGGCAAGTAAAATGACATTACATTTTAAAATATAAGTAACATAAAAAAAATAAAAAAATAAAAATTAACTTACTTTAAAAGTCGCATATAACTCGATTCCTTTACTCTAGATGTTAGCATGAAATCTATGGTTATAGATTGCTATGTTGCCTCTATGACCATTTTCTTTGTAAAGTTTTGTAATTTAACGAATTTACCATCCTCTTTATATATATATATATATATATATATATATATATATATAACCCTATCAAATTTGAAATTTTGTTCGATAAGTTGATAGTTCTAAGCCAACAATTTAAGTGAAGATTTTTCACATCAAATAAAATCTTAAAGTAATACGATTTCCAGCCATCAATTCGAATTTAACATAAAATGTCAAATATTTGAACACAAGAAAAACTATTAAATACTGTGCACAAAATTTAACATAAAGATATTCTTCAACGAGATAAAGGAATTGATTTGCAAATTTTCATCATTAGAAATTTTACTTGATGACTCCATAAGCATCACTTAGTTAATTTGCTACATGTCCGCACGACTTGTTCTAATCTGAAAAGTTAAGAAATACGTGTATATTCTTATTAGTATGATATAAATATAAAATGACATGACATAACATCATTTTTTAGAGTTAAAGCAAACTGGTTGCGACATCCAATAGCTCAAGGAATTTCATAAGAATTCCTATATCTCGTAAAATTTATATATTTGACCAAATAGTCCATCTCATGGGATTTAATATATTCGACCTAATGATCAATTTCGAAGAATTTAACATAGAAATTGATCCAAAGACATTAAAGTAATTCATACCAAAGTCTACAAAAATATCAAGGAAATAAGAATTTACCACTTGTACAAAGTATTCTTACCTCAATTGACACCCAAAATTCAGAAAAAAAAAGTTTGAAATGATAATATGAAAGTGAATAGAGTGAGCGAACTTATGAAATTTCCATCACAAAACAGTCTCACCTCACACCCTCTATAATTCACTCACACATAACCTTTAAGGAAATTCAAAACGTTGGCGACGTACTTCAAATCAAATGCATTTTAGGTTAATTAAAAATTAATTACGTTAATTTATTTTAGTTATTATCAAAGTTAATGATAATTATGTTTAGTATCTTTTCAAATTCCTACTTGAAAGTTCCTTCTTTTTTCATTTATTATTATTATTATTATTATTATTATTATTATTAATAAAATATTAAAGGTTAACACTTTTCTTTTAATTAGCATAACTCAGACAAGACTAACTCAAAATTATTTTTTCTTGAGCCCTAATTATATTGTTTAACACGAGCAACAAAATGAGTATAATATCAATATATTTTTATCAACTTCTAAAATACTTAATTAGTCTACCCAAATAACTTATGATATATCTAAAAAAATACAAATAAGCAAATAAATCATTTCTAAAAAAAGTGGGTCGAGTTTATCACTTCAACTTTTAAACTTTAGTGTGACGATAAGACTAGACACGGACTATTTCATTTCTAAATGATCAACATTAAATTTAGGCCATATGAAAATATAATAAAAAAATTGGGGGTGTTACATCAACACCATGATGATTCTCTTCACTTAACGTGTTTTAGAACTACAAAATCATTTCAAACTTCTTGGACGGGATTTACTAGAAGTCTAGAAGAAACATCTTTCAACTTTTTGTTTTGTTTTTTTTTTATGAGATAACAGTATACTTTTAGGATCATGTTTCATGAAGATGGACACCAAAATCTACTATTTCGAAATCAGC